GACTATCTGCCTTCCCTCTAGTCTCACACTGATAAATTAGGGACGGCTAGCGCAGATAGCCGTCGTGTAGCTTTGCGCGAAATTCAAAAACAAAAAACCTCCTGACCTTTACTTCCCTTGATAAAATCCCCAGTTTCCTATACTTCTGTACTATCAAAAAGGTGTAACCAACTTTATCTCTCGATGAAAAACACAGACAATCTCTTGAACAAGCCTAGCTATTGTTTTACGTTTAACAAACAACTTATCTCGAAGATTACTCTCTCAGGAATATTCCTGATATCTACTTCGCTAAGGGAAGAAGTAAATTAGAATAGCTACTAAAAGTGAAACCAAACAAAGGGTTGTGTGTGTATACAAAACAGTTAAAGGGTTGTGTGTATACAAAACAGTTAAAGGGTTGTGTGTATACAAACAGTTAAAGGGTTGTGTGTATACAAAACAGTTAAAGGATTGTGTGTATACAAACAGTTAAAGGGTTGTGTGTATAAAAACAGTTACGGTTAGCCACAATTTCTTATCAAGAAAACGATATATTTATAAATCTAGTTCTCTGTTAAGTTTCAATCACTCTCAAATACTATCAAAACACAGAAAAGTTGTAGTAAATTAATCATTATCATTTAAGGCTTAGAAATAATCATAAACAAAAGTATAATAATATAAATAATAGAGTAATTAAACTATAACTCGCCTCTTGCTCCTCGTTAATTCAGAATTGCAACTTTATTTAAGGTGTAGTTAGTCTTGATATAAATTTAATAAATATATACTGATCAAATATGCTTTTCAGGTTAGTGTGACATCCTGTAAAGACGCTAGTAGATCGAAACGTCGTCCAAAAATTTCCTAGAGAGATGTACTCCAGTAACAACGCCTTTCAAATATACTCTCCTCTGTCTAGACCTTTTTTTCAAGCTAAAACTAGTTTGAAATAGCACGTTATGCTCAGACATTTGCCTGAAACTAGAGATTAATATTTTTAGCCACGGCCTAGCGGCTTATAGAACGGCTCTGAGTTGTTGTTGTTTTTTCAAGAACAAACGTTTAGCTCATAGTTCCATCATCTCTTGACCGATTTGAGATATAATTACAGTTTTGGACTCAGAAAGACAAACCCTTTCGAATGATGTATTTGACCATGCCCAATGGCTCATAGATTCATTTACTCTAATCCTGCCTAAAAGAATTTCAATCTGAGGTTAAGCTGGTAGAGATCCTGATGAATAATAAAATCGAATCGGGTATACGCGCACCACACGCTTGGTATTGCTGGCGCACAAAAATATAGTTAATAAAAAGAAGGAAAAAAAAGTATCATAGATTAATTTGCTCTAATCCTGCCTAAAAGAATTTCCAGTGCCGTTGCTATTGAGGATTCCCTCTTGTTTAGTGCAGAGGATCAGTTTAGTCAATTGGCATTGCTCTATAGTTTTCTAAAGACAACTATCCGAATGTTGGATGGGCTAAGAACACATGCAGAGGACACATCAGATGTTGGTTTTAAACAACTGATATTATCAACTAGAAGAATATTCTTGACGTATAGAATTAACAATACAGGAAGAAAACTTCCGTTTTCAAGGACTCTTGCAGCAGTAGTAATGGGCTTATAAAGAGTATTTTGGAAACAGTTAGAGTCAAGGTTATTGGATTTGATTATGTTGTTGCTAAGTTGTGCCATCGTGTGTGTGTTATTATGACATTAACAGTTTGTATGTATTGATAGGAAAGGTTTAGTTTAAGTATGTATTGAAGAAGGACTTTGTTAAAGGAAGCTAGAGTACAATACGGATTGTGTATGTATGATTGTTTCTTTGTGCACAGGAGACTTTTGTGTTAATTCTTTCAGTGTCCATAACACATTTTGTAACACATCTAAATGCTGCAGTAATGTTTTGACAGTTAAAACATTGTGAACGTTTGTAATTTCCATTTAATTATGTGTGGTGTAACGTTAATCCAAACCGGGCAGTCGGAATACCAGTCGTAAGTATTGTTTGCATATTTACATAATGTAAATGGTTTTAACAAACTAGCAAATGTACACTAATTCCCAAAACTTGAAACTAACAATCTAGCAAATGTATAACAAAATCTCATGATATCACGACCATCCAATCAACAATCACATAAGTGCAGGTTACATTCCAATATCATTCGTTTATTGGAATGATAAAATTAAAATTAGGGTTTGCAGTTTATTTGTAACTAATGCATCCTGATTAAACAAAAAATAAGGTGTTGCTGTATTGGGTTTTGAAAGCTTCTAGTAAAATTAAGTATTTAAGTGTTGTGTAAACAGCAATTTTATGCTGAATTAATCAAATCTCTTCTGCTTGTGGCAAAAATATCAAACCCACAAAGATAAAACAATGGATACAGAAAAGTTTAATTGAGTGAGTGGGAGGAATGAAATATTAATTAAACAGGTTCAGCCATGACTGATCAGCGTCACCTATCAACTCGGTTACACTTATAATATAAGGTAAAACAATTAGTGGTTTGAAAGGAAACTAGCTTGTTTTGTAATATCAAAAACTTGTCAGTAAACAGCAAGGTGAAGATGTTTTGGGACAGTCAACAGTCACTACCCAGATAAAAAATGTATTGGATATTTTTATGCCTGGATTGAGAAGACGTATGCCCATTTGTACGAAACCTTTTCAATACAACACTATTTGTGTATGTTATAAGTCAATTCCGTACTGAAAAGCTAGAAGAAAGAGAGTGAAATGCACAACGTTTCGGCTGTGTAGTCTCTCTTTGTATTTATTTTCATCCTGGAGTTAATCTCTCCTTGTTCCCTTTGCAACCCACACGCTGACGTTACTCCCCACTTACGTTATTTTCTCATGTTAATTGCTGTTGCTATATTATTTAATAGTAGTAATATTTGTAAGGTAGTTTTAATTACGAAAATGAATAGTTCACAATTTAAAATTTCAACATAAAAGCTAGTTTCTTATAATAGATATAATCCATATTAATTTAGTTTCTGTGAATAAGTAATATAAATTTTACATGCTTTAAGGTTTTTGTGTCAAAAAACTACCTCTCATGATTCTAGTGTGGACATTAACGTAGTTGTTTACAAAGTGAGATAAGAACATCTGCTGCAAAGTACTCACAAAATTTTCTGAATGACTACATGCTCTGTTTATAGTTTATTCCATTAGTAAAGCTCTATTTACTCTATTAGAATCCTTTACTAATTGGAGCGAGTATAAATACGTCTCTTCTCTCCAGCTACACTAACTTACTTTTAAGGGTAATTTTCCTGGAAAAGTGGAAACTGAAGATTGGCGGAATTCATATGTTTTTCCCCCAAAAGATTACCGAACGTCATTTAAGGGGTCACCTGTTTTAACCAATCGCACCACTATACAATAGTGTGTTGTCTGTCAGTCAGAAAGTAGACACTAAAATGACGTCGCATAAGGGACGTATAATGCTGAAATTTGTAATGTCATGAATCACGAGAATAATTATACACTCTGCAGGCTACTACACAGCATGACATATGAACTTCAAAAGCAAGAAATGAAAATATTTGTTACTCTTAATTTTGGTTTTATTTACTCTTGAAACACAACACTTTCGAGGACCATGCGGAAGTACATCTAGTATTAGTTTTATCGTTTTAACCACTATGAACATTGAGACTTTTCATTGGTCTGCCACAATGGAATTTGGCAAAAAATCTTGATTTATTTTGACCTTATTGTACGTAGGATCCAGAATGTGTTACCATTATATTTGTTAAAAATGAAAAAAACTCTGGTTTTTCAAGGTACACGTTTTAGTACAACATATTTAGTTTCTGGAATATCTGCTTTATATGCTATTGAAAATCCATAGGTATTTGATTGGCATTAGTTTTAGATCTAAAT